TGGGGGGTTTTTCCTTTTCAGGGGATTTTAAATTAAAATTTTGTTTTTACCTTAAAAAATGGGTCTTGTGAAAAAACAAAACCAAAGGGGGGGAAAAAGGGGGGGACCCTTTTAAAAATTTTATTTTTTTTGCATTTATTTGTGTGGGGCATATTTTCTTTTTCATTACAAAAAATCTTCCATATCTAATTTTAATTTTTTACTGAGATTTTCAATTGCATCATTTTAACAAGAAATTATTCCCATGACATTTGCTATAGATTTATTAATTAGTATAACCCAATTCCTCATTCATTTTTGTATTTTTCCCTTTTTTTTTATCTGCATATATATATATATATATATATATATATATATATATAATATATATATATATATATATATATATATGAAAAAAAGAACTGAATATGAATTATCAATCTCAGGATTACATCAACATTACATCATTATTCTTACTGTGTAGCTATTCACTCTTATTCTGACTTTTCATAACATACCTGTGTACTAACCTGTAAAAACAGAGCAAAAGTAGTACCAAGAGAAGGAGAGAACCGCACTTGTTTCTTTACTTCAAGGTTCTTCACAGATCTTGAGATTTCTTGCAGCTTTTCCAGCCAGTTTTCCATATTCACCAGGAAAGCTACTCCATTCTCATACAGTTGTCCTAGCCTTAAGTCCACCCACTGGTTGCGGAACTCATTGGCTGTGGTAGGACTACTGGAGGAGGAAGTACCGGATGAGCAGGTAGAGGTGGAGAAGGAAGGGGCAGTAGTGGCACTTGCATCACTTGTTTGCATGACTTTACACTCATCTGGCTGCTGAACCTTTTGCTTTCCATTTATTAAAGGAAGTTCTGGCTTTCTCGATTGGAGCTCACAAGTTGGAAGGGTATTTATGAACTTCCCCGATGCCTCAAGAGCCTTGGTCATGGATATCATGGCTGACTGCTTACCATCCTTGACTTCCAACTTACAGATATTGATGATATACCAAAAGTAAATAGTGTAGAGATCTGTGTGTGGGCCCACATCAGCAAATGTTTCCTGGAATACAGCTTTTGAGTCTTCTGTGCTCATGCGAATGATTTGTGCTTTTGCTGGGTTTGCACCTTTGCCATATTCCATGACTGTTCTTATGGAACTTTCCTTGTATTTGGTCTCCTCCTTGAATAATGCAGCTACACTGAGTAACAAATTTTGGATGAGATTTTGTTTTTTGATGTCACTGATTACATCCTGTGGAACATGTCCCTTTATAGCAGCCTCTATGCATGGTCTCAGGCACTCAACAAACCCACTCATTTCTCTCAAGTTATTTTCTAGTGCAAGTTGTGAGCTAATATACTGTGTAAAATGAAGTAGAAAAACTGAAGCAAGACCACTGTCATCTTCAATACACTTGGTGAAAGAGGAGATCTTTTCCATCAGTTCTGAATAAGAGAAGCTGGACTTAATATCTATGAGACCTTTCTCCAAGTCTGACAGAGATCCACTAGCATCTCCAAAGTCTCCTGATATGGTTTTGGCATACGCAGAAATTTTAATCCTACAGCTGAAAATATCAAACTTATCCAGGATTCTTCCAAATGGATCAGACTGATGGATTGCTCTACATGATATCATACCAGTCACAACACTGGAATTTTTACAGCCACTATCATATTTACCCTCATTCAGATTGTTTTTGTTATAGAATTCTCTCTGAGATTCATTGTAAGAGCCTAAATTTGGCATTTCTTCATCACTTGACCAATCATCCTCCAATCCTGATGAAAGCACATGTTTCTCATCTTCAGTAACATTTGAGTGACTACTTACAATGCAATCTGGGATGTAATTGGTTCCCGTGTCATTATGTTCTTCATGTCTCACCTTAAATAACTCATATCTCTTGGTTTCCATCTGCTCATCAAGGTGCATTTGGTGTATACCTTGAGACCCATGACCTTTACATCCATCTTTTACAGTCTGGGCATTTTTTGTACTTGGCATCCTCCTTTGCTCTTTAGTCTTTAACAGTTTCAGCAGCAGGGAGTATTTGCTCAAGCCAGATGAAGAACTGGGTAAGCATGTTTCAACTATTGAAATACCAGGTTCCTTCAGTTCATTCATTGGTGTAACTGAGTGAAGTCCTGAAGTGAGGACTTGTGATTGAATAATATGATCATCATAGAGGTCATCTTTATAGCTGATGAGATCACCAGGCTGGGCAGCATAAGGTCTTGAGGTGTGACTGTGGACTCTAGGGCCTTGTGCCTTCAGACCATTGGATTCAATACAATTCTGTGAGTCCCCTTCAGAAGTCATCCTAATTCTTTGTTACTTTCTTGAAGAGAGAAAAAACAATGGAATAAGGGAATGTGGCAACTATAAAAAACAAAATGCACAATCTGATATACTACATATATTCTGCAAGTACATCTATATCTGTATCTAGATAGACAGATAGATAGATAGATAGATAGATAGGTAAAGTTTTGATAGATTTATAGATATATGAGATGTTTCATGCAATAACCTACTCTACCAATAACAAACAAACAGACAAGTAAAATGTGATATTAAATTTACATCTTGGATCACAGAGATCAATTTTGTAATATATAAATGGGTAATAGTTGAATCAAATAAATGTGATAGACATCTAAAGTCATATAGCAATATGGTAAAGTATTGTGGCAAAAAGGGGTAAAAAGTGTTAACGATTAGGTTAAAGAGTGTTAAATGTCAAAGGTTATAGTGTTATAGAATAGTATGATAGGGAAAAGGGTAAAGAGGGTGCAGCAAATGAAGTAAATCAGAGATTAGTAAAGGAAAGGGTTAAAGGCACAGGGGGATTGGATGAAGTGGAGTGTATCTAGAGATGGGGAAGCTATAATAACATTATTTAAAGAAAACTGACAAAAGAGTGATTATGAAATGACCAATGGGTAATACGGGTAGAGATGGCTGTTGGAGAAGTAGCAGAAGAATCTAGGCGAAAGCTTACGATCAGAAACTAATATGTAAAAAGTCTCACATATTGTAAGAGCACTGCTAATTAATATTCCTTTATCAAATTCTTAATATTACTACTGTAATTACCCATAATGATTCATTAATACATATCAATTAAAGTACTAATTTGCAAAATCAAAATCTGCATATTCTTTATTTGTATCTTAATGAGCCATTTCTAGTTTTAGAATTAATACATTAATATATCCAACCATAATTATCAATGTATTAATCATTATCCATACTGGAAAATATTAATTCCAGCAACTATTGGAAATCAACTGAATCATTTACATTGAACTTCTTTTTGCATACAAAAGATAATAATTGACCTCTTACTACCATCATCATTGTGGAGCTAATACTGATGGGGGCACATAGCCGCATCCATCCTTCATTTCCACCTAGGAGGGTCCCTCATGGCAAGCATGCAGGGACTTGGCCCATCTTGAGCTTATTACAAAAGGCATCAATACAAGACTCCAAGGTGCAAGATAATGTCCAGGTTTCACTGCCGTATAGTAAAACTGGAATTATTAGGGCCTTGAGGATGCATAGCTTGGTCCTCCTTCACAGGTACCTGCATCTCCAAATTCTCTTGTTCAGAGTTCATGACCTCTGCTGCTAGACCATTCTGTCTGCTGAATTGCTGGTCTGACAGCCCTGAGCTATGAACTACACTACCAAGGTATGTAAAGCTCTTTGTAATTTCTTTGTCCTCACTGTAAGCACGTGCCAACCAAGCAGGTTCTCCTAGCAAGTCCCCAAAGTCCTGGATCTTGGTCTTGGTCCAGGAGACTTCTAGACCCAAGGGCTTTGCTTCCTTGCTAAATGCATCCCGAACCACCACTAAGGTTTCCAAAGCTTCAGATAGAATGGCTACATCATCAGCAAAGTCAAGGTCAGTAACCTTGATATTCCCCAGAGTTGCTCCACAATGACTTTAAACAGTAGCTCTGCCCAGTATCCAGTCCATGCTAGTGTTGATAATTACAGATACTATAATTACAGATAATAGAACATTATCAACATGTTTATCTGAATAGTACAAATAATAGATATCAGCAGGACGACAGAGTCCTATGGTGGTTTGCACAAATGATCTTGTATTCAATTTTTTAAAAGAAATTTAACTTATTTATTTGTTGAAAATATTCTGGCACATCAATATCAATATCTAAGGTTATTAGCAGCATATTCAAAATATCGTAATAATGCAGGCATGGGGTTAATGGTTCCAACACAAATATGCAAGAGATTAAAGGCCATATAGTACAATGGTAAAGTATCATGCCAAAAAGGCAAAACATATGTTAGCGATTAGGTCATAATGTGTTACATGTCAAAGGTTTTAGTTTTGTATGTTAGTATGGTCGTGAAAAGGGTAAAAAGATGAGAGCAAATGGAGTAGTTCTGCGTCTGTCTCTCAAGACCCCCACGGCAATGAGCAAGGGATTGGGTGGTTTTGAAGAGAAAAAAATAAATATATTAATTGATTAAAAATAATAATTAAGCGTGTGTGACCAAGTAGGATTATATACTCTATGAACCCTATTGGCAAAATGTCAATGCTCTTATCCATGCAAGTTGTTCACTATTTCATACTTTAAATTTCACAGTGTAAATAACTCAGTCCCTAATGTCACAATTGCCTACTTTTTCTGTCAATAGTTTCCTGGGCAGGTAGTAGTACTTCCGAAACAATTCGCCGCAGTATATAAGAATAAGCTTTTTGCACTTTCGAATAGTCATGCGAGCGTGTGCGGTGTAGACGAGATAACCGATTGTCAATAGTGTCGCAGATCAAATTCTGATTTTAGCGCATTAAACAAATGTTTTCTAGAACTTACCTTCTAAATATCATTCCTGATTCAGAATACCTATAGACACTGTATTCACATAAAAGGCACGCATGTAACACAAACCTCATACAGTTTTAATCTCATGCTGATACGAGGCGATAGCTGCCGAGCCATTTCCTTATCAGTAAGTTAACATGTCGCACTTTCTAGACAATTTCGATAATTTAGCGGTTATGTTTCTACTTCCTCATACTTGCGAATAAGGGACACGTGTTGCCGATGTGGAAAGTTTTGTTAAAAGCAGATGTGCAATCAAGTTCAGAGTAGTCACAGTCGTTTTTAAATAATTTATATACAATTTCGAGACATTTACAGGACAGCTGGAAACACTTAATTCACTGGGAATAATAATAGTAGATGGTTAATTGAGACAAATATATGTGCTAGACATCTATAGTCATATTGCACTATGTTAAAGTATTTTGGTGAAGAGGGTAAATGAGTTAACGATTAGTATGAGTGTTAAATATCATAGGTTATATAGTGTTATAGGATAGTATGGTAGGGAAAAGGGTAAAGAAGGGGTGCAAATGATGTAAATCGGATGTTAATAAAAGAAAGGGTTAAGGGTATAGGACGATTGGATGGAATGGGGTGTTTCTTGTTGGGGGAAGTTATAGCAACATTGCCCTAAGGAAAACTGGTAAAATTGTTACGAAATAACGTGTAATACGGGTAGAGATGGCTATTGGAGAAGTTGCAGGAAAAGTCTAGGGAAGAGAAAAGGGACTGGGAAAGGTGGTGAAGTATCTGGGAGAGCGCCAGGAGGGGAGGAATCCGGAGAACAACACTGTCTCCCAGTTGGGAAAGGTAAGTATAATGGAGAACGAAAAGGAATTGGTACACATGGGAGATAGTGCGGTTTGTTGTGGAAGAGGAGGAGGAAGAGGTAGGGGGAACTTGTGGGGGATGGATTTTTTTTTTTTTTTTTTTTTTTTTTTTTGTCTTGTCGTCTTGTCTTGAAGGTTTCTGTAGGGGATTTGAGTAGGGAGGTCTGAAAAAAGACCTTTAGGAGAATAAGGGATAAATGTTCAAGTAGTGGAAAGGACGTAGAGGGCGAAGATGGAGTAGAAAGTTTGTCTGATACGACGCGTAAAGTGAGGGAGAGGAAGGGTTAGTATCGTAGTACATATTGAAGTATTTGGATTTTGAATGGAAAAGGGATTTGACGGGGATAGGGAGTAGAGTTTGGATGTTGCAGGGTAGAGAGAAGAGATGCTGGGGGAGATGTAGAAACACTGGAGATGGGGGAAGGGGCACAGTGCGAAGAACGGTTTAGGAATAGAGAAACTGTCGTCGTGCTTTCTATGTAGCCTCATGTAGCGAGGACTAGTATGAATCTGAGAACTACCTCACATTCGAGCTTATAGGCAGGGCAGCTCCTATAAAACAAGTTATGGGAGTCATCACAGTTGGCAGATGTACGTGACTCAGCAGGGCAATTTGAACGGCCATGACCAGGTTGGGCACAGAGGGCAACGGGCGACTGTTTGCCAAATCGCCAGCATTTGGCATTGAGGGGGGGGGGGGTCAATATGGTCGGACAGGCCATTAATATAAACATCTGGGTCATGTCTACGGAAGCTAATCTTTAGTGACTTACGATGGCCTCTGGGAGGAATAGTGTAACACTGTACTGCCACTGCATCATATTCAGCAAGGCAGGTAAGGTAATTCACAATCTAACCAGTTGTCATGGGACAATCAGTTGGGGAAATGGAAATAGTTCCAGTACAAGTATCTACAGGCAAGGTTCGACAGGAATGGGTTTGCCGGCAAGGTCAGTTAGGGTATGAATTCTGATGTAATCTAGTCGTGAACGATCAGAGCTACTGCATGAATCCAATGAGGAAAAGTAAAATTATATTCAAGTTCACGGAGTTCTCTTCTGCTTAAGTTTTCAGGTGTGTACCTAGAAACAATTGTTGTACTTTGGCAAGTCCTTCAGTTGGCATAGATTTTTTCCCGTGTGCTGTGGCGATTCCTTCAATTCATAGGTCGTGCATAGATGGCCAATTAGCATCTCCTGTGCTTCCTTGAATCTCACATCACAGTTCACGTGTTGAAAATAAACCTTTCTGTCCAAGTTTTGCCACTAATTTTGAAGTATACAAGTCATTATACAAAACCTCTACAATAGGACTGTTGCTATAGGATTGTTAACCAAAGGTTTATTTTTACCACGCATTTCTATTCATATTAAGCGAGTACACAACCCCTACCATATGCAAGCACCCCTTATAGGTAAATTAAAGCAAGATCTACACATCCAACGTTTATTTTAGTACAGGCGTTGGGGTTTTCCCATGGTAGATTTAATATGGAGGGATCGCACGTTCTGCCAGTGCTTCTTCAGCAGTGAAACCAAGAAGTTCATGGCTAGGTAAACGTTCTGCACTAGTTCATCTGAAGCCATCTCAACGTGGCCAATGGCAACAGAAAGGCACAAGACCTGAGGGGAAAAGGTAGGGTATCATTATTTCCTTGACCTAGATATTGGATACAAATGAATTAATTCCTAGTAATCAGATTAAAGTGTTCAACATACAATTTCTGGTAATACATGCTAAAAACATCATGTAAAATTGTTTTCAAGAAATTACAACTTAAATGTATTTTACCTTCTTCATCTGGAACTTAATGGTGGCCTTGATCTCATTGCACTTGTCTGTCAGCTTCTCAGAATGAGTGCACATGGTAGGGAACTTGCCAGCCTTGTTGAGACCAGGGCCTAACAGACGAGGAATCTGCTTGATAAGGGCATCGGAGGCAATGAAGGCATCATACTTCTTAGCTGTCAGGTGGGGTGGGGGGGGAAAAAAAAAAAAAAAAAAAATCAAAAGATTAATGCCAGAAGATACAGGTTTAAAAAAAAAAAACGTATAAAGCAAGTTTCAGAGTGAGCTGAGTAAAATCTTCATGCAGGTATCAGGTCTATGGAAATCAATTCATCATTGTAACATTCACTATTAGGGTTTCAAAATAATTGCCTAGAGGGGGAAAAAATTCAGAAAGTAATGTACTTAACCCCCCCGAGAACTAAGTTTGCAAAAAAATGCAAACAGTCTATACTGGAAAAAGTGGCAATATATTACTGAACTGTACTTAAAAATATGAAATTACTTTATTCAATACTTTAAGTATACTGACAAAGCCACTGGTAAAGGTTGCAGCGATTACCACTGCCTTGCATTCATTTTAACACTGATATCCATACTCTACCCTTATTGGTAACCTCATTTAAAATTATGTTTCATAATCCACAAAATATTTCTCCCAACTTACTTGATACAGGTATCAAGTTATTTTTTAAAGCAGGGAAATGTTAGTTCCAAGTTGCAAGGCAAAATTGACCATAATAATTGAAGTATAAAAGTTATGGCAAAAATTCAGGCTCTTCATAGGAGTATATTAGTACAGGGATTTGGATATCACACCAATCAGTGCCAAGGCAATCATAGCTGAAAACACCCTTCAAACAAATCTGCACAAATATGCAATGTGAAAGGAATGCTTACCCAATTTCTTGACAAGCTTCTTGTCCTTGTTCAGCTTCTTGAGGTCATCAGCAGACATGCAGGGAATGTTGTTCTCCTTAGCCTCGTCAATGTGCATCTGGTCACCAAGGACACAGATCTT